TCGGTGTAGCAAAGTGCTGCATCTTGTAAACAGAAAATTTTATCCTATTCCATAGTAAGTGAATAAGCTCGTTTGATTAAAGCGGGTATGTTCCTTCGTCCCTCATACTCGAATACTTTGAACTGCAGTCAGTTTGATCGACTATAACATGATCAGTTTACAGCTATTAGGCACAGTCTGTAACTCATACTCTGTGATCTGCATGCAAACTTTTCATCTAAAACCAAAATAATACGGCATCAATAAGACACAAGATTTCAGCGCAGCTCTTGGCCGAAAAAGGTTTTCTTTGAATTAACATGAAAAGCTGGTAGATTGTATCGCAACACTGCAATCTATCTGAAAAAGTCAGCAATCAGGCCCTCTTTAACTCTTTCCGTTCCCATCAGTTATTACTCCAGAGGTAGCAAAAACGTCAATATGGTTTTCGATTACTTTTGGTGACTTTAATCATTGAGATCGAAGTACATGGCTTCATTATTAAAAAACGTAAGTGACAGATTTGTCAAGCATTTCGTCGCGTGAGTAGCAATGGAGAGGTAGAGGGATTTATGTTGGAGATTTAGGTTTGAGTGGCGTAGATCAGTGAATGAATCGCTTGCCATTATATACCTCCTATGCATATGAACGAGCGGTATTTAGGTCTTATTCTACACTCTAAAATGGTGATTCCAGTTGGCACTTTTCCGCCCTGACCCCAAAAAGCTTGAAATTCTGTGTATTGCCCAACTTTCAGTGGAGGCTTATATATAGTTATATATAATCCCCTGCATAAAAATCATAGTTAGCTAAAAGGAAGTTCGTTGGGGTTATTTACATATTGGTCATGGATATCATTCAACTCGCATGTTAGCATCTTTTTTTTTGGAGATAATGTGTTGTACATGCAGTCAAAGTTACAAATTTACAAAAGGGTTTGGAAATTGGTACGATTTCTATGACAGCATATCAAATGACTTTGACAGAGGACCTTGACAAGTCCGTGATTTTGACCTTTACTGTACACCCCTATCTCCACTGTAAGCACTACCATACGGAACGGATGTGATCACTATCCCTGGGCGTTTTGGAAAAAATTTTTGCCTCGGATTTCTTGGCCAGAGTTGTGAAATAGTATTGTTAGTATACTGTCCAGAACCATCTGAAAATGCAAGGGACAGCTTCGTGAGCGATAAATACCCTTGAACAAAAGCTAGTCTTCGAGTTTGTAATGACACAATTCAACCGCCTTGCTTAACATAGTGTTTTATTTGGTTTTTCAAGAATAAAAGACCAATTTTTGTGCTCTGAAATTTCCTGCTTTTCTTGGCTACTGATAATTTCCAATTATTACATAATCTCCCTTGACTTTATTTAACTTTCCTTTCTCTGCATTTTCAATATTTTGGAAAGCTTTTTTCCTTATTTACAAAACTTTATATGTCCCTAAATTTGATTTTTCAAAGACCTTCGAATCGAGGGACGAAGTATCATGCCTACAAAAAAACCCTTTTTTCCCCCACATTTTCCATTTATCATGACTTCTGAAGTTTCTCTTAAATAAGCATATTTGAAATGATGGCAGTAACTTACTCAAAATACAGATCTTTATTGCTCAGGACCTCCTATTTTCGCACAAATTTATCGATGTCGTTACAACAGTTTCGTGGGACTCCGCTTGGAAGCATTCCAACCAATCTGATAAATTTCGTTATTAAAGGCTAACCTTGCCTATTTTTAGGAATCAGAAAGATAGTAATTAGGAGTAAGGCCTAGAAAAAACGATGATTTCTATCTCGTTGAAATGGTCTCCCTAAGCTGGATGGCTCACCGGAATGCAGATTGTCTTCAAATAATAAAGGCATTCTTCAACATTACTAAAGCACATTCATTCTTTATGAATACAACGGATGAGCCTGTTCGCTGATTTTTGGGCTGTGGTTAACAACACATGTTAGTAAAATGCTGTTTCCCATCGACCCGACATCCCTTCCTCAACTCAAAATTCAGAACGAAGACGAAGTTCCAGAAGAAACTGTGGGCCTAGTTCAGTAAAGGGGATAGAGCTTTCGAACTATGTGCAGCATTTCAAGTTCATTTGAAATGCTTAGATATCATCGTCAGGAAAAAAAATCAAAAAAAAATTATGTCATCTCAATAGTGGCCAAGCCATTTTTTATAGCTAGCTATTTTTGCAACTGTTCTTAAAGGCAGTGTCCGGACAAATTTTCTCCGTGTTTTTTTACCGTTTATGGACCGTTTCGTTGTGCTGAACAGAATACTTTAATTGCCGTGTAATTGTCAGAATCATAGATTTTGGGCCTCATTTTGGCTGCAAAGATCAGCGTCAGAGGGGCGTTTCAACTTTTTGAGATTTGGTCCCGGAACGATCGCATGCCTTTCTCAAAGAGCGCTGTTTTTGAGAGAAGCCAAACACGGTTGGTGCTGAGGAGAAAATCACTGAGTGGAAGGAGTGACCTAAAGAGGCTGGGTGACCTAAAACGTCCGGGGGCCACTCGATTAGCTTTAACTACGGGAATAGCCTAGTTCGGTGAAAACAATTCTTATGCCTACACTGCCTTCAGCGTAGGAAACTATACAAATTCAATCTCAGGACACCTCCACCGGGAGATGATCACAACGGGTTGAATCGCGTGAAGGCGGAAGAGCTGAAAAGCGAGGAGGTAGATCTCTACGACGATGCAATTGCTCCATCGTCTGGAGAGAAATCTCTTGCACCCACCCCAGTTCGTCCCGCTCAGCATAATGGTGGGAGTACACATGTACCAGACGGGAAGCGGTACGTTTGTTTGCTTCACTTTGCAGATTTTATTCGGTATATTTCAGGTACTGCTGCTATATTGGTAATTTAGTTTGGTGGGCCACAGATGCTGATGTTGGCGTAAGTTTTTAGTTCGCATATTCGTATTGCGTTTGAATAAGTTCGTAGCTCTTTTTTA